TGCGCTCTGAATTTGAGTGCACTCCCCGGAAAGAAGCTGGCTTGTGTTACTGTGGCAATGGAGTGCATTTGAAATTTTTGGACAAGTTTACCCCCTACCTCTGCTTGTAGGAAAAAAAGAGCTGCTGAGCTGATCTTAATGGTGATTCAAAGTACTTTAGATAGATCCTGTCACATGCTTTATAAGTTCCTAATTGATTGTGTGGAATTAAGTTCTTGGGCAGAAAACCAGCTAATGGAAACACATTGAGGAAATCATTTTTGAGGGACATAAATGGAGCCTAAAATAAAGCTGAAATGGCTTTATGGATTTTTCACTCAAACAATTTATGAACATTTATTGCCAGTAAATTATATTGTGTCAAAAGAAGAAATCAGTAGGTATGGCTTTAATAGAAACCTTTTTGAAATAATAAAATTGAGAATAATTTATTATCTAAGAATGGATAGAGGATGGGATGGGGGAATTCATCCTGATGGATGGTTGTCCACTCTGCAGCTACTGGGGAAGCAAAACATGGTGTGAAAATCAGAAGCCTGGGGGACTTAGAAAGAAATGGTCTTTTGAAAAAGTATAAATATCTCATCTCCTTGTATCAATATCTCTGGGAATTGTTTTTAGAAGAGGAGCAATGGCACCCTTAGTGTTTACTTTGTTCATACTTCATGAGAGTAAATATACGGTGACTTAGCCTGCTGAAAGAGACAGCCTAGAGGAGTGGGCACAGGCATCCGTTCCAGAGCTGGGACATGGCAATTCAAAGATTGGCTCCGCCTCTTCACTGTGTGACCATAGAAAAATTTCCTCACTTCTCTGAATCTCAGATTCTGTGTCTATAATAACAGATATGAATAGTCCCTACCTCATAGAGTTATTCTGATGATCAAATAAATCAGCTTCAGTATTTTCCAGTTCACAGTAAGTTATTTTTAAAGGTTGTTTTTTTAAGAATCATACAAGACCTGGATAAGAGGCAGAAAGAATATGAATATTTCAGTACTCATAATAGTATTTTATTAACCATCATCTGCTGATTGCTAATGTGCTAGAGATCTCATTTAATTTCCCAGGATTCTTAGAAGATGAAGTTTTTATCAATATCCCCTTTTTTCAGAGAAAGACACTGAGCTTGAGAGAGATTGGGTTTCATGCTCAAGGTCACTTGCATGAAAGATGAGTGGTTTTGAAGATTCTGCTACTTTCCCCTGAGAACTCATAACTATGGGTCTGTCCTCCAATAGGTATGACATATATGGGCCCCTGAGGACAAAGTCCAGCAAAAACAAAATCAAAGGGCATCTGTGTGGATGGTGGAAGCTAAGGGAGCATGAATGTCTTGCCCTTTACTTCCATCCCACATCCAGAGCCTGTCAATCACCCATCTTTTCTGTCTATCAGAGCCCAGCCCTTCTGATTGTTGCTGGCTTGCCATTTAGCAGGTGCCATACTGGCCTGGCATTGAGAAAACAGCACTCTAAGACACAATGGCTAAAAATGGGTTCTAGAGTCAAATGCCTGGATACAAATCTCAGCTCTATCACTCTTGCCATGGGCCTGTGAGCCCCACATGCTTTTAGCCCCTAATTTATAGGATAGTCTGGTTCCCTGGTCTGGGGAAGAGATCAGAAGCCTTTTGATTTCATTTTACTTGAAAAAGTATTTGTATTGGGTCCAAATAGCAATCTTTTATTAGCATAGCTCTAGATTATTTGAAGAGGTACAGTTAAAAAAAATGTTGGATTGTGATCTTGGACATTCATTTAGGATGTAATGTAATACAGGAGGAGTTCTCTATTAATAAATGAATCCTCCTTTAGTAGCAGTACCAGGTGGAAATGGGTCCAGTAGGAGCCTTGGGAACCTTAAGTTGAATCCATATGCCATACGGACCTTGCACCTTCTCACACAGAGCCTAAGACCTAGTTGAAGAGATGGGATGAATGTCTTCAAGGTTAAATAAAATCATAGGTAGTGTGTGTTCAGTACCAAATGAGTGTTGTGGCCATTTTGCAAGTATTTGTTGAGCACCTACACTGTGCTAGATAATGGGGATACAACAGAGGATAGACACATTTCTCTAAGACACACAGCAAATGCTGCTACAGTTCTGAGAAAGCTGAGGAGCCAAGCTCAGGTGTTCAAAGGAGGCTCTGCTCCTCCCACAGACATATGGATGCCTGTTAAACGTGAGAAGACTTTACTCTAACCTCCTTCCCCTGCCCCAGAATTGCCTTAAAAGGATGGCAGAGCTAAGGGCCACTGGCTGCAGTAGACTGATTCTTTCTTGAGCCTTAGTATAGCCAGAAGTAAGAAGGACAGTAGCAAATGGGTTTTGTCATTGGATCTGACAAAGGAACAGGCTCAGCACAAAGTTTGGATAGAACAAAAAATATGAGGCTTTTGAGGTTCATTTTACATATAAAGTTGCATTTCTCATTTTTGGATAGTACATCTGAATAAATGTAATATATTTTCTATGTGCACATGTTTTGCATTGTCAAAAGTTGTAAAACAGGAATTCTTTGAGAAGAGGCAATTGCTCTTTCTATGGCAGTTTTCATAGAATTCTTAACACAGAAAGGGGAGATTTGAGCCAGGACTAGAGTGTATACAGTATAAACCAACAGAAATAACTGTCCTTGACTTATTGAGTCTTATAATTGTTCCTTTTAATCACTTGTTAAAAATAGGTAGGTTCAAATGGCTAAGAACTAAGCATTCTTAAGAATGTCGTAGGGAAACCCCTGTTAACTGCAATGGTGACAGATGGTAGTTGTTCAGTAACAGTTTTGAAATGGTCCTGAGAGGTAGCTGAGGGCAGGCTCTTGGGTCTCAAACAGCCTAGAGCCGCATCCCAATGGGTCACTGACTGTCCTGTGAGTTCTGCAGACCTGTTTCATCCCCTAGGAGCCTCCACAATGCCTCTGGCATAGGTGCTTCTCAAGGGATGACAAAGCTGTTGGAGATGTGGAATGCATACTGTGCGAAACCAAATGTGATGCATGCATGACAAAAGCTACATTACAATCTATGATCCAGCTCAATCTTATGCACTTATTGAATTAGTCAGGGTTCTTCAGAGGAGCAGGACAAAGATTCTTTTATAAGAAACTGACTCATGCAATTATAGAGGCTAAGAAGTCCCACCATCTGCAGCCTGTAAGATGGAGACCTAAGAAAACTGGTGGTTATAATTCGGTCTGAGTCCAAAGGCCTGAGGCCCATGGAGCCAATGGTGTAGATTCCAGTCCAGGTCTGAAGGCCTGAGAACAAAGAGCACTGAGAGCAGAAGATCGATACCCCAGCTCAAGCAATCAGGCAGGAAGCGCCCAATTCTTCCTTCCTCCACCTTTTAATTCTGTTCAGGCCCTCACTGGATTAGATGAGACCCACCCACACTGGGGAGGGCAAACTGCTTCACTGAGTGTGCCAGTTCAAAGGCTACTGTCATCTGGAAACACCCTAAATAATGTTTTGCCCAATATCTGGGCACCCCATAATCCAGTCAAGTTGACACATAAAATTAACCATCACACTTCTAAAGAACACAATAAAGTTTAAATCACAAGAGCAAAATAAATATTATATGTATAATAAAACAATGAGCATTTTTATGAACTTTACATCAAAAAAGTTCTGTTTAATGGGGACTATGGGTACATTTTGATGTACTTGAACTGATGTGGTTAGGGTTTATTTGAAGAGTAAAACTGCCTATGGCCACAGAAAGATCTTAATATCCCCATGCTAAATGTGTCTATGCAACTGCAACTGCCAATTTTATGGGGTTGTTTGGGGGAATAAATGAGCTAGTATGTATAAAATATATATGATGTTTTTTAGCATGTAGTACTGACTCAAAATGTTAACTTAGGTCACTCATTATTATTCACCAAGGTATTCCTTTAATGACTGTATATAATGTTAAGCCGTTATTTTCTGATTGCACTTGTGATAGTCTGTTACTCATATCAAAAAGATCAACTATTTCTATAGTTGCTACAGAAGTAAAGAAACCAATTTATTTTCCTGGACTCATCAGTATGCTAGGATAAATGTGAATTTGGAAAAAGAGTGGTTAGTGGAGGATTTCTATGCCATTATGACAATGCAAGAGGATTCTAGAAATTCACACACAAATGCAAGATATCATGCAAGTCCTTACAGCATCAAAGAGCCACACCAAAGGTATAAAAATAAACAACTTTAGTTGAAAGTACAGGTTACTGCCTAGCTAAGTTTAATTGAAAAACTAATATCCAGGGCAATTGTCTGTGATAAACTGAGGATTAAATGATTTGAAAACACTTCGGGGGTGGACAGATCAAATAATAACAATCTTTATGGTGGGGTAAGTTTCAGCTGGTTGTTGACAGGTTGTAAAGATAAAAGCTTATAGCCAAGTGAAGAGCTGAATGTCTAGATTGGGCCAGGGATCTGGGATCAATGCTGACATTCAAAGTGCAAAAGCACTGAAGTTCCTAGTGTTCTGTTTTGTTTAACTTTTCAGGATAATAGTGCACAACTTTATTTACTGAAATACTTTGGCTTAATTTCATTAAGTGAATACCTGACAGTCTTACTATGTTCTCTACCATCTAACCCACTTCTTAGATGTTGAATATGTTATGTGATTGTGCCCTGCACTCCAACAAATGGGCTTCAGCTGCTATTTTTCAAAACATTTCCAGCTGGGTAACTATTAATAGTTTATGAGAGAAAAGAGTCAGACCATGCGATTTCTAGGCATCTTTATTTTGTTTTTTTGAAGCCAACACGGAATTTGCCTCATGGCCTCACTCTGATCTCAGCAAGAGCACTTTCAAAAGAAGTTCCTTATTTTTTTGAAGGCTGTTTGCATGAGTTGATTCAATGCTTTCCTATCACTGGAGCTAAAGCCAGTGGCAAAATATGTGCTTATTGGGTTGGGTAAAGGATTCACTGCATTTAGCTCCACTCACAGTCTCCAATCTCTGTTTGCTTTTTTCTTTCGTTTGCAGGAGCAGAGGGCACAGTGTTTCCTAAATCTATAGAGACACCCAATGTCAGGGCAGACCCCTTCAAGGAACTAAGGTAAACTTCTGACTATGGTTTGCTTTGATTATTTGCTATTTTCTTTCTCGGAGCAACAGACTGATGATCCCTTCTTAATATATCTAATGTAACAGTGTCACAACATGAATATATAAACTGGGAAGGGTTAGAAAGGACTCAAAGGTAAGCTACAACCAAGAGAAAATTTTTTCTGAGAATGTAAGAGGATTGAGGGTTTAGAGGAAGAATTTGCCAGCCTTGTAATTAGGAGACTGAGGATTCATTTGTTTGCATTCTTTCCTGCTGTACATTATGGTACTGAAAATGTAAACAGTTGCAGAACTGGCCAGTGATCGGAGCTAATCAGCCCAAAGAAAAGTGCAGTTGTAAAGACCCTGAACTCTCAATACAAAACAGATTTTTTTCCTATGAAATGCACTCTCCAGTACTCGGAGTGTTATGATGCTAGAACCACCTTCTGCAGGTAGTCCGTGCACTGGTGGTCATCTTCAAATATCTATAAGTATGTAGCAGGAAAGGACTGTGAGATGCTATCCACCACCAACTAAGGAAAACAAAAAAGACCACTAGACATACAGACAGACAAACAGCTGGACAAGCAAACAGAGATATGGCTAAAAACCATTTCAACTCCCAAATGACCATCTTCAGCTCCAAAAAAGGAAAACACCTAAGAAAATAGTATGTTGATACAAATATAACTGGTTTTTACTGTATACTTGTAGTCATGCAGAATTCAGTAAATACTGGCTTTCTTCATTTCTTGTGGTTCTTTTAACTACAACCACTCATGAGTCATCATAAATAGCACTGAATATTTTGTAGTGGACATCAAACATAAACAAATGTATTTGTATTACAAGAGTCATACGTACTCTTTCAAGATGCAGCCCCAAGATCTAGGTTTTGCTGAAACAGCAACAGCCATGTTGGAGTTTGTGCTTCCCTAAACAAAAACATCTTCTCAGAAAGTGGTGAATATATCATTACAAAACTCATAGTGTTACTGGAGACGGGTCCTTGGTCTCTTTGCAAAAAAGAATTCAGGAACGGCTGTAGAAAAGCCATTGAGCATTAAGTTTATTTGGAGATTCAGAGTTGAGAAGGAAAGCATTGGTCTGGGACAGATTCAGAGGGAGTCACTTGGGAGAACTGAAAGAGCCTTTTTTACATGAAAGGAGATGAATATTCACTAAGTGAGGTAAGGTTTCAAAGGGAGCAGGTGAAGTGTCCCTGGAGTTTGGGTTGCTCAACCCTCACAGCGGCTTTTTGACTATATTTGGTTCTCAGAGCTGTCACAGTGCGGGGAGTCATGATTTTTAGTTCGTTAGTGCCAGAGGGGTGTGAATTTTAGTATGTCAATGAGTGTATAATGGATTTGGAGGTGAAGTGAGGGTCACCTTCTCCTCCAAGTTGGAACCAGCCAGTTTTGACCAGTCTGCCATATATATTGTCCCTGCACATCCCAAGAGAACAGCTCTCATGGAGTTTATAGACTATAAGCAAGCATCTTGCCAATGTAAACACTGGTGGATGCTCCCCTCCCTTTCCCTGCTCACAGTCTGGCCATCTACCTACTATAACAATAGGCATTCTTGCAAAGTCTATAAATATAGGGAAATAAATTGGGGCAAAGAAAGAGGGTAATTGGTGGGGGATGAGAACCTTTTTATACCTAAGTCCTGTAATACAATGGGATGTATTTGTAACATTATACACCACACTGCAAGGTTTTACCTTTTACTAGAATAACTGCTTTCATCAGGCTGCCACAAACCAGAAGTCACCTCTTTCACCTAGATCCTATATTTCATATTAGGCACTTAATCTGGAATCTTTTAAACAGATCCACCCAAGAAAACCTTTATTTTAGGACTCTGTGAGAGAGCTCATTCCTGAGGTGCAATGGATTGCCCTGTGTGTGATACAAGAGCTCTTCTGAGGTGACCTAATGGATGGCCTCATTCCCTTTCTTTTCACAGACCACATGGGGACCAGGGTTTAGTTTGGTTTGGGGTTTTTTTGACTGAACTAGTCAGTAATTAGTGCTGATCAGCCCAAAGAAAAGTGCTGTCTAAAAGAAGCTGAACCCTAAATATAATACAGATTTTTTTTTCTATGGAACAAGCTCCGTATTACCTGGAAGAAATATAAGAATAAAGAATTTAGGCTGACTCTGCTTTAAACAGAAAAATAAATCATCTGTAGTTAATAACAAGCCTAACCCATAGCAAACAAACAAAAAGACAACTCTCCAAGTGTCAGCCTGCTGCAGAGATCCGTATCCTAAAGAACATAGAAGGAATATTTGCTGACATAGTGCTGTTTGATACTCTGACAGTCCTCTGTACACAGCCTATGGGAGACCCTGGAACTTGCCTTTTAAAAAATGAAACCCCCAAAATTCACAAGCAAATCTCCTAAAATCTACTGCAACGAAGTAAAGACTTCAGATAGTTGGCACATTCTCACTGCTTATTCTGAAGTAATATGCAAATTGCATACCAACTGGAAATAAAATTTTCTTGAAGGAAGCATAAAAGGATTGTAATATCTAATTCTAAAACTGGACTTTTGTTTGTCCCTCTTCAGATCATGTTCATGAACTGACTCAAGGTCTAGAATGTAATAATCCTTATAGCACCCTTTTTTTTTAATGGCACTTTGTGAAATAATCTCTGATCAACTGAAAGGAGAGTCAGTATGATTGAAAGATTAGCCCAGAGCATGTGTCTGAACGTTTCACATTTGTCATTTAATGGTATCACATTTCACCCTGTGGTATTGAATGATATTGGATATTGAGTAAATAGGCAGTGAACTCGGTGACTAAGTCTTCTGGCCTCTGGGCCTTACAGGTGGATCAGTTTTACAGTGATCCAGCACATTCATGCGGGTGTGTCTTTAGTCTTGGAAGTAAGCAATCTAAGGGAGATCCCTACACTTCTACTAGCAGGTAGCGCTCAGTGAACCATCCAGGTGAAGGAGGAATCACTCCTTAGTAGCAGAGGGGAAAGAGCACTGAACTGGGAGTTGGATACTTACTGCAGACCTACTATGTGGCCTTCAACTAAAACTGTAACCCTGCTGCCTGTGAGAAGCTAGGTCACTTCTAGCTCCACCAGTAAATCCCCTTATGTTATTTTTATTTTTAAATAATTTTAGATGTAAAGAATTGCAAAATTCATACAAATTATTCCCATGTATCCTTGGTATTCCTTGTATTGACATCTTATATATCTATGGTATATTTATCTAAACTAAGAAATGAACAGTGTAGTCCCATAATATCTTATTTTACAAAAGATTTGTTTAAAAGGCTGCAATCACCTGAATGTCTTACAGATTTAAGAATATATAAAAATGAGTGTAACAAAAATTATTCATTGAGATGTGTATTAATGTATCTTTAAAACTTCTACTGCAGTTAAGATGGAATAGTCTTTAATGAGATGTTTCTGTTTTTAAATAATGTACTTATACCCAGGTTTTCTTGGTTTTACTTGTTAGTGGGAAACAAATTAAAGTAAAAGATTACAGCTTATTTATTCATAGATTGTCTTCTAGATGTACAAGCAAAACTTAAATATCCACTCATGTCCCTCACTTAGCCAAACAATCAAGTGTGAGAAAAAGCATCTATTTTAGCCACCTTCTCTGTTGGGATAACTTTTATTTCCTCAGACCACTTTCTTGCCTGCTGGAAGGTTTTCCTTTGTTTTGTTTTTGTTGTTTGTTTGCCTATTTGTTAATAAGAGACAGATTGTAGGCTTCTGGCATTTCTTCCTAGAAGATCTCAATTCTTAGCCAAGAGGACTGGTTACTTCCTCTCTGCTAGAGTTTTGGTTCACTGCTTTTCTATTCAGTTACTATAGTTACCATGTTTGCAGTATTTGCTTAAGATATTTGTAAATAATCCAGGGTTGAACTGAAAAATCACAAAAGAGGTTTTGCTTCTCTCCAGACAAATAATGAGTGTTAGCAAGGCCTGCGCCCCACACCCAGCTCAGGCGGTGTTTGTTGACTCTGCCCCTGCAGGACAATTCTGAAGTAATGACAGGTTGCTCTAGATTCAAGACTATACTTAAAAATATACCAGGCACTCTACCTAGCCCTTGAAATAAGAAAAGCTAACAGTTCACTGCTTTTCTATTCAGTTACTATAGTTACCATGTTTGCAGTATTTGCTTAAGATATTTGTAAATAATCCAGGGTTGAACTGAAAAATCACAAAAGAGGTTTTGCTTCTCTCCAGACAAATAATGAGTGTTAGCAAGGCCTGCGCACCCACACCCAGCTCAGGCGGTGTTTGTTGACTCTGCCCCTGCAGGACAATTCTGAAGTAATGACAGGTTGCTCTAGATTCAAGACTATACTTAAAAATATACCAGGCACTCTACCTAGCCCTTGAAATAAGAAAAGCTAACTTTGAATAAAAACTAGATGTTAATAAATTCACAATCTTAAAACATAAATATATTAAGTGTTCCCTTGTTCACCATTTTTTTTTCCTGGAGTCTCTATATAAAGACAAATGGAAAAAATCCATGACCAGGCTGTGCATGATCTGAGACAGCAAGTAGGCCATTTAATTTTGCATATGTATTTTCTGTAAGAACAGAGGCTACCTTTGAATGTCTACCTTGCTCTAAGGATTCTTTTCAACTGTCAAGTTCCCTTGTAGGGTTCTGATCCTACAAGAACAGGAAATAGACTATGAAATCTTATTTCCAGACGTATGCCATGATACACATAAAGAAGGGAGAAGGTATATAGACCACCGCACACAGAAAGACAGCTCTGCCCCCCTAAAGCTCCCAGAAAGCTTGGAAGGATCCACTGTAGAGTGAGAAGCCGAAGCTCTTTATAAAAGGATCCATTAGCTCATTTGCTGACGTGTTCTTATACACAGTCATGACGAGAGTGCTGACCTAATTTTCCACTTAATCACAAATCAGGAACAATTTATCAAGTATTTTTTGACACCTAACTAGGAGTCAAGGCATGTACCAACGACT